AAGCGCCGCAGCGGCGACTGCGGAGCGGAAGTGAGGTCAGGGCTCTGCGCGGCCTGCCCGCACGGAGCCGCGCAGGAAAAGGTCCTCGGCTTCCCCTCAGGACGGAGGGCTGCTCCTATCGCGCAGCAGCGGCTTCCGAAAGCCGGCCGTGGGAGGGAGGGGCCAGCGCCTGCCACGTGCTCCGCGACGTCGCGGGCCTCAGATGGGCTCCCAGCCGCGGACGTGCTCGGCGGCCGTTGGCACGGCAACCCGAACTGCGGCAGCGCCGGTCGCAGCCGCCCACGGGGCTCAGCAGACGGGTAGAGGGGCGAACGTGTGGAAATGATACGAAGTTAGCAACGCTTCCGTAGTTTTGTGTTAAAACCGCGAATTTTGTTTTTCAGCAACCATGTCCAAGGGCCCTGCGGTTGGCATTGATCTTGGCACCACCTACTCCTGTGTAGGGGTCTTCCAGCATGGGAAAGTGGAGATCATCGCAAATGATCAAGGCAACCGGACCACGCCAAGCTATGTCGCATTTACCGATACCGAACGACTGATTGGCGATGCGGCAAAGAATCAAGTTGCAATGAATCCTACTAACACAGTATTCGGTCAGTTTTTTTTTTTTTTAATTCGGTTAGCTTTAAAAAACAATACACGCAATTTTTATACATGAAAGTAGTTGGAAAGTTATTTTAGTGTTAAATTACGGGGTACTTAAAAACAATAAGAATTTTTACATGTTTAAATTACAGGGTAATGGATAACATAATGGTCAATTCTGGCTTTGAATATGTAACACACTTAAAAGTGACTTGGCAATCAATTTTTAAAAATTCCGTTTGGAGGCTTTGGGACGAAAGTGAAATACAAGGGAAATTAAATTGTTGCATATACTTTTTCCCCCAGATGCCAAACGTCTCATTGGACGAAGATTTGATGATGCTGTTGTGCAGTCTGATATGAAACACTGGCCCTTCATGGTGGTGAACGATGCAGGCAGGCCCAAGGTCCAAGTAGAATATAAAGGAGAGACCAAAAGTTTCTATCCAGAGGAGGTGTCCTCTATGGTTCTCACAAAGATGAAGGAAATTGCAGAAGCCTACCTTGGGAAGGTGAGTCAGCACTGCTTTGTAGTTACAGGAAAAGTTAGGTTTTGCTGATTCCAATTTTAACGGTGGTGTATGTCCAGTTAAGGATTAAGGTCACCAATGTGTTAACATTGGTAGTTGGTTACTTTTAACCTTTTTTTTTTTCTATACCAGACTGTTACCAATGCTGTGGTCACTGTACCAGCCTACTTCAATGACTCTCAGCGCCAGGCTACCAAAGATGCTGGAACCATTGCTGGCCTCAATGTCCTCCGAATCATCAATGAGCCAACTGCTGCTGCTATTGCTTATGGTCTGGACAAAAAGGTACATGGTGTTTTTCTTTTACGTGCTTTCGAGTTGTTTGCGACTCATAGCGACCCTATGCACAACAACCCTGCTCTATCCTGCGGCAACCGCACTGCCTCTGACACCCATCCCAATTACCCCAGTCACAGAATCAATCCATCTCATAGAGGGTCTTCCCCTCCTGCGTTGTCCCTCCACCCTCCCAAGCATGATGTCCCTCTCCAAGGACCCATCTCTCCTGGCAACATGTCCAAAGTGTGTCAGACGAAGCCCCAAAATCCTTGCCTCCAAGGAGTAGCTTGGTTTAATCCTCTCGAAGATGAATCTTGGTTTTCCTGGCAGTCCATGGTACTTTTTTCCAGTACTCTTCTCCAGCACCACAGCTCAAAGGCATCAACTCGCCTGTCCTCCTTAGTCATTGTCCAACTCTCTGATGCATAACAAGTGATTGCGAATACCATGGCCTGTATCAGGCGCACCTTAGTCTCCAGAGAGACACCATTGCTCTTTAGAGAGTGCTTCAGAGAGGTTCTTAACAGCAGACTTTCCCATCGCAATACGCTTGATTCCTGACTGCTGGTTGACCTCGAGCCGAGCAAATGGAACAGTCTCAATCTCTTGGCCATCCATCCTGATGCTGCCAATTGGTCCAGTGGTGAGAATCTTGGTTTTGACATTGAGCCTCAGTCCGTACTGAAGGCTGCAGTCCTTGACCCTTCGCAGCAAGTGCATGAGGTCCTCCTCAGTTTCAGCAACCAGGGTTGTGATATCTGCATAACATGCAAAAATTCTCATAGAGCCCAGCCTCCCGGATAATCTGCTGCATACATGTTGAAAAGATAACGGAGGCAGGATGAATCCCTTTCATACACCCTTGCCAATTTTGAACCATGCAGTGTTTCCTTGCTCTGTTCTGACTACTGCCTCTTGGTCCAAGTATAGGTTTTGCATTAGCACAATTAAGTGTTCCCGGATTCCCATTCTTCTCAGAGTCAGCCAGTTTGTTATGATCCACACAAAAGCCTTTGCATAATCAATGAAACACAAAAGGTATGTAGCATTAGAAATATAAGGTTAACATAAGACATTGACAATTTAAATCAATCCAAGAATTAATAATTTCATATTTTCAACAGGTGGGTGCTGAAAGGAACGTGCTCATCTTTGACTTAGGAGGTGGCACTTTTGATGTGTCAATCCTCACTATTGAAGATGGGATATTTGAGGTCAAGTCTACAGCTGGAGACACCCACTTGGGTGGAGAAGACTTTGACAACAGAATGGTCAACCATTTCATTGCAGAGTTCAAGCGCAAACATAAGAAAGACATC